ATGTTCCAAAACCATGTTTCATGTGCTTTTCATATGCGTTTCACATGAGTTTCATGTTTCACATATTTCACATGTGATTTTAACATGTGATTTGCACATGTGATTTTGTTGTATTGCATTTATGCTGCCTCTAAAAGATTGTAAAAAGCCATTTGAAAATCTGAGAAATTATCTTGATCTTGAAATAATCTTAAAATGGTCTCATTGTTTGTCAAAAGAAATTGTATTTCTTATTTTGGAAACATATATGTCCTCATCATCAGACACTCAGTATATTTGATATTCTGCTTTTAAAACATCAGGATGTTCTTGGGAACAGTGAAATTGATCTGGACTGGATGTTCAAATTGTCCTTTGCTTATGACATTGTTAATGTGAGTATGTTGTTTTAATGTAGTATCCTTCATTGCATTATATTATCTAGATTTCTAGTTTGCATATTCACTAGGAAAATCTTGATTTCTTGGAACAAGACTGGTACAAAGGTGAGACCTTTTTTGTGGTATGTTCTCTACAGGGCATGGAGTACATACATAAGAGCAGTCTGAAGTCTCATGGAAATCTGAGGCCCAGTACGTGTCTGGTGGATAGCAGGCTGCAGATCAAACTCTCTGGCTTTGGCCTGTGGGAGTTCAAACATGGTACCAAACACAAAATGATCCCACTGGAGAATCCAAATTATGAAGAGATGTACTACACTGCTCCTGAGTTTTTGAGAGAGGTCTACTGCCCTTTCAATGGAACCCAGAAAGGAGATGTCTTTAGCTTTGCCATAATCATGCGAGAGCTGATATACAATACAGAGGTGGGCCCATATCATGATGTTCATCTGGAACCAAAAGGTAATGCCTGTGTTGTGTTTCTTAACATATATCAGTCTGGTTGCCACCATGGCACCCAATTTTCCATTCCTTATCCAACTGGATTAAGTTTGGCCTTTCAATGTTTTATATTTCATTCATTAGAGATTATCAAGCAGTTAAGGACTCCAATGAGCGATGAGCCCCTTAGACCAACCTTGTCTGCTGACATCTGTGATGAACGTCTCATCCCTTTGCTAAAAGCCTGCTGGAGTGAGAACCCAGACCACAGACCCCCATTCGTCAGTATCAGGAGACAACTACGTCAGGCATGTCCTGAAAGGTGCATGTTTTATGTAGCCGTCTGTCCAATGGTCTTGACACTCCTAAATATATATTTAATTTTATTTACTCTGTGCTGATTTATCAATATCCCAGCCATGTTAACATCCTAGACAACATGGTGAGCAAACTGGAGAAATATGCCAATCATCTGGAAGAAGTCGTGGAAGAAAGAACAAATCAGCTCACAGCAGAAAAGAGCAGAGCTGATAAGCTTCTATCTAGCATGCTGCCAAAGTAAACAAACCTTGATAGTATCATTTTTTTAATGTATTTTTCATTACTCTTATTATCAGCTAGCAAAATAATTGCCATAAATGCAGTTACATACTAGATGGTTGTATACAGGGCCGTCCTTAGGGGGGGTGCTACTGAC